ACAGACAAGTGTTCTAGAAATGGCCAGCAATCTGAGGGACAACCTATGCCTGAAGCCTGGAGCCTTCTACAAACATTCTGCTTTCCTGAGCCTCGGTTTCCTTATTTATGAGTGCCTGGAATACAGGATATTGGTGAAAAAGCAAAATTAAAATGATGTGTACCATCCCGAACCCCAGAGGGCCATCTGTGACACCACCAGTAAATGTGACCGGGCCTACGAATACTCACATGATATTACAGGTGCACGCAGACAAAATATGCCCCTAGCGGGTGCAGGAAACCTGTTTGCAGCCTGATAGCCCTCTGGAAACCTGACTACTCTGTTTATGACGACTCAGACAGCCAAGGAGAAGCCATGGCTCTCTGTCAAGTAGCTCAGCCTAAGTGAAAGGCGACACCCATGTCTGGGGACCCTGAAGAGAGGGAGAGGGGCTGGGGACGCTAACAAATTGCATGCCACTAGCAAGGCAAACATCTGTCACTCCAATGTCCTGTCTCTATCAAAATAAATATGGAGAGGAAAAGAGTCGGCCTCGTGCAGAGACAGGTGAGCTTAGATTCAGCCCAGCTGCGGCCAGTTTGTAGCAGCAGCTGGTTTCTGAGGGAGTTTTGGGCTTTTGTGGCAGTTCGGATATGTTCTGCACTCCCAGTCCATCGGCCCTGTGCCACTTTATTTCCTGCATAGAAACAGAGCTTTCAGAGTAGCAATGCGTTTTTGTTGTCCCACAAGCAACAGTGGTCCCACTGTGACAGAGTCTTGGTTATGTTTGGTTTTGCGCAACAGAATCTGTTCCTGGAAAGAAATGTAAATGGACTCAGAAAGGAAGGGCCCTGGTGTAAGCACCGCACACGATTGCAGAGACGAACGCATCGTAGCCCCCATGGGATCCCTGAGATGGATTGTCACTTTGAATTTTCCCAATAAGCATATATTTTGTAAAGAAAAATGCATGCTACACAAAAGAAGTTCCCGAGCTGATGCTGGAGCCTGGCAGAGTCTCGCCACCCTCAGTGAGTTTCGCTGTCTTTGGAGGTATCTGTAAGCAGCGGCCAGCAGCGGCAAGCAGCGGCCAGCAGCTGAGGACTGCTCCCCGCAGGGCTGCCCTGGGCCTTCACAGAGCGGCTGGAAGAGTTTGCAGTGGCAGTTCAACTCGTCGGCTTATTTTCTGCTGTCTGTGTTTTTGCATTTCAGATTTCCCAAAAGAGAGATATGTCTTCCTTTGATTCCACTTGGCAGAATGAGCTAACGGGCCACCAGCATTTGACAGGACTCCAGTGAATTGTGTACTGGCAATGTAGGAGCTGGAGAGAGTCCTCGATCCCTCAGATATCCCTGGGGAGGTTCATGCAACCAGCAAGACATCATAAAAATTTATAGTGATAAAGCCCTGCAAATGATGCTCCTCCCCTCCTGTTGGGATCTACAGGAAGCTCTCCAGACCCGTGCTCATCCTGGGAGACGCTGCTGCAGTGCAGGAGAACCCGGATGCTCCATATTACTGGAATCTTTACCTTGTTCCATGGCTGCCCAAAGCTGGGAAAGTCCCTGAACCCCTAAGGTTGCTTCAGCTTCTCCTCCTGGAGAGCTTGTTGGGGAGGTGTAGGGAGAAGGAAGAGAAATTCACTAAGAAGAATCACTGCAAAGGGAACCCCCTGAGAACCTGGAAGCACGCCTGTGTTGCTCCGTGGTGAGGAGTGGGTCTCCCAGATCCAAGGTTCCTTGAACCTTAAATCACCTCCGCCTTCCAGCACCGTAACCTCAGGAAAGGTACTAAATTCTCTTGGCCCCAGTTCCTCAACTACACAGTGAGGCAATAATAGTACCCACCTATGGAACTGTCTGGAGGGCAAAATGAACTAACACAGAGCAGAAGGCTAAGAACATGTTAAGCGCAACAGAAATGTGAGCTGTAGTTGATGGCATCAGGCGTCTCCATCTCTTCCCAGCTGCCTGGGTAGAGAGCACGATGTTTTAAAAACTCCCCACCTCCAGCCAGTTAGGGGGAGTAGTTCTCAGGGATCTTTTTGGATAGCACAGAAGGTCAGAACCATTATCAATGCACATTGTCACATGGCTTATGTTTGCCCGGCATGTTCATAATTTTAAAGGGCTCCACAGGAACCTCAAATCATCTAAAGAGAAGCAGATGTGGCAATCTGGTGGGTCCATGCAAGGAGAACACTGACAGGGGAACGGGCAGAGTCACAGCTAGCACGAAGCGGTTTTCAAGCCATTCCAGGTAGCTCATGTGGGCAGAAGGACTCATTGCCCATCAACAGCCATTGCTGGCTCTTTACAGGACCACGTACCAAGCTCTGCTGCATACATCATCCATGTCTGTGATGGACACTCTGGGGTCCATCCCAAACCTCACGCTCAGTCTTGGGCACTGAACTAGAAGGCCGCGTATGATGTGCCAAGATGTAAGGCACACTACGAATAAGTTGCAAGCCATGTGAAAACCTAGCAATTTTCCCTACCCCTCAAAGTCATCATTTGGAGAGTTGCTGTCCCTGTTTAACGAATGGAGATGTAGAGAAGTAAAGCTGTATAGAACCTGTGGCCCCATGGCTGCCAGCTCCAGAACTGAGACCCGAATCTAGGTCTCTTGACTCCAAGGCCATAGGCTCATAGGTCATCACGGGAGAGTAGGAATGAAATCTGGGACAAACTCAGAACTGCCCTGCCCATGGCTCTCACAGCCTCTTCTAAGTTCCCCCATAAGGGGTTCAAATGATACCAGTTCTTTATCTTGTGCCCAAGCCTCCAGGGGGAGTGAGTGTGCAAGCTCTGACCTCAGTTTACCTGTCACCAATCCAGCCTCCCCCAGCTTGGTCATGGCCACCCTCTTTTTCAGTGCCTGGAGTGAGCGCCCCGGCATATGGCACAAAGGTACCTTGATGGCTCATACTCCTTGGGGACAGTGAGCGGCAAGGATCAGAGTATCAGATCACATAACCAGTGACTTGATTTTGAAGGCAAGGGACAGATCTAATTAAAGCCACGAACTCTCCTGGGACTGACCCAAGGCTACCTGGATCCATACATGGCTCTAAGAGGTGAAATGAATGACAGAAACCACCAAATCCATTCTGACTAAAGCATGAACTTGCAGACAAGAACTCTCCCCTAAAGAACTTCTGCTCAACACTGGATAAATAGAAACCCGTTCCTCGTGTTTGGCCATGCCTGTCACTCACTCCTGACCTAAAAGCTGTACCACACAGTTTGCTTTTCTGATGTTTTATACAGATGTGCCAACATGTGGAGGGGACAGCATATGGAGACCTTTCCAACAGAGCTTGTGAGAAGAGAGAAGGAGGCCACAGCTGCTCTCAGCACAGGCTGAAAAAGCGGAGCAGCGGCTCAAACGCTCACCAGACGCCCTCTGGGAGGGCTTGGCCACGGGCCTTTGTTTTTCAACAGGTTTTGATGGCATGCAGAAGGTCAATAACAGAAAAACATCAGAAGCCAAAGAGAGAAAGAGGGGGCTAAACTGGGGCCAAAGGAAGACAAGCCTTAGGGTTTGAAGGACTAAAGCGCACGTTACAGAGATCGCAAACAAAACTAAGGTCAAACAACCAAAGTCAGTGTCGTGTCAGGGAGATGTCCCAGCTAGGAAAATGCCGTGGTGACAACCCAAGTTCGATCCTGGGAACCCACCCCAAAAGCTGGATGTGGTAGGCTGTATCTATATTCCAGAACTCCGCAATCGAGATGGGAAGTGGAGACTGGGGACTGGCTCTCACAGGCTACACCACATATGCTCACACATACACACCATACACACACACCATATGCCACACACACATACTCACGCATACCTATATACCACACACTCACATATGTACACACCATACACACGCACATACTCACACGTACCACAGACCCTCACATACTACACACATACACTTACACACACACACATACACAGACGTACTCACATACACCACATATATACACATGTACACACCATACACACTCACATACTCACACATACCACACACCCTCATATAACACACACACATACACACACACACACACACATACACACACACACACACACACACACACACACACAAACAGCAGTCCCCTTTGGAGCCAGGAACCAGGAACCTGGAGCCACTTGTCACTTCCAACCTCAGGCTCAAATTTTAGAATCACACTCTCAGCCAAAGGGATCCACAACAATAAAATATTAAAAATTGTTTTAAGGCTAGAGAGGTGGCTCAGTAGTTAAGAGCACTTCAGGTTCTTCCACAGGACCTGAATTTGATTTCCAGCACTGGCATCAGGCGGCTCCCAACTGCCTTGTCACTTCAGGCCTAGACCTGATGCCTTCTTCTAGCCTCTGTGGGCATTTGGAAACACACACCTTGCACTGACACAGACACACACATAAGTAATTTGGGGCTATGCTAAGACAGGGTTTCACTATGTAACCTTGCCTGGCTTGGAGCTCACTGTGTAGATCCGGTTGACCTTGAACTCATAGAAACAGGCCTATTTCAGGCTACCAAATGCTAGGACTAAAAGTGTGCACCACCATGCCCAGCAATGCATTTTTTAATTGAGAATTTTTTAAAACACAAAAGCATGTGACTTTCCCCCTAAAAAATTATAAAATGCTAGCCAGTAAGTATCTTTGATTTTTGGAAGATATGGCAAGAAAGCTCGATCCTGTGGCTCATGGCTGCAATTCTATCATTTGGGAAGTTCGGGCAGGAGGGCCACGAGTTTCGGTCAGCTTGGACTACACGGTGAACCCCAGACCAGGCAGGGTCACACAGTGAGACCTGTCTCCATAAACAAGCAGCTGCACAAGAATGTTTTCTGTGTTTCCACACCAGCAGGGTGGCTGAAACCCCTCCTGGCCTCTGTCTAGGGACACAAAGACCCAGCCACATCCCAGCTCGCATCTCTTGGGCTAGACACAGCAGTTGATGTGAACACTTTGGGGACGATGAGGAAAACGGGGGAAGAGCTTTTGTACTCACATTTGTCCCTGAGGGAGCCGAAGGAAAGGTGGGGTTTGACTGAGCAAAGACCCTTGGAATGGCTGCATACGGTGTTCCAAGATTTGAGGCATAATCTGAATGACAAATGATACCAGGTTAAAAAAAAGTCACAAACTTAACCTTTAGAATTCATCACTGGGGAGACGGCATGGCTGGTCGATGCCTGCCTTGCCGGCCTGAGGACCTGAGTTCAATCACTAGACCTGCACAAAACTGCAGACATGCTAGGTAGAGTTTGCCTGTAATTCCAGTGTGGGGGAGGCAGAGGCAAGAGACTCTCTGAGGCTCCCTGGTTGAGCTTCAGACCAATGGGAGGCCCTGCCTCAACACACACACACACACACACACACACACACACACACACACACACACGATTCACAGGTGATAAGAGAAAACTGAAAATTGTCTCTTGCTATGCTTATTAGTGTTTGGCAGGACTACACCTCTGGGCCTGCTGTAACTAGCACAGCAGAGGGTCTGAAATATTCCAGAGAATATTGTCAATGCTTGGGGTTGGAGTGTCTACACATGAACAGGAAGCTCATATCCAGGAAGTCCTGTCTGTGCACACACAGGAAGCTCATATCCAGGAAGTCCTGTCTGTGCACACACACGAAGCTCATATCCAGGAAGTCCTGTCTGTGCACACACACGAAGCTCATATCCAGGAAGTCCTGTCTGTGCACACACAGGAAGCTCATATCCAGGAAGTCCTGTCTGTGCACACACACGAAGCTCATATCCAGGAAGTCCTGTCTGTGCACACACAGGAAGCTCATATCCAGGAAGTCCTGTCTGTGCACACACACAGGAAGCTCATATCCAGGAAGTCCTGTCTGTGCACACACAGGAAGCTCATATCCAGGAAGTCCTGTCTGTGCACACACAGGAAACTCATATCCAGGAAGTCCTGTCTGTGCACACACAGGAAGCTCATATTCGGAAGTCCTGGATCTCATCGGTGGAATATAAAGCTGAGGACTGTTAACTCTGCTGAAAGCTGCCGTCTGAAGGCCCCTTCCACTTACCCTCATTTCCAGTGGGGTTATAAGCAGCTGTGCTGTTTGGGGAGGAGCACAGAGTCCCCTCTGCTGATGCAAGAATACACCGGAGGCCAGCACTAGAGGAGAGTCAGACAGTCAGTTTCTTCAAGAAGTTAAACAAAAACGAGTATATGACCCCAAATTCTGCTCTGATGTATAAAATACCCCAAAATTGAAAAAAGCTACAATAAATACTCAGGTGTAGCCTAGAAGGAGGGCCCTAAGAGAGACATACATGGATGCCCCTGGGAAGGGGGAAAAGATAAGTTCTCCTGAGTAAAGGGGGGGTGGAGAGGGGTGGGGGGATGGGGGGACTGGGGAGGACAACATGAGGGAACAGGAGGGTCAAGTTGAGGGAGGAACAGAGAGAGAAAACAAGGAAAGAGAGATCTTGACAGAGGGAGCCATTATGGGGCTGGCAATAAAATTGACCCCAAGGAAATTCCCAGGAATGCACAAGGATGACCCCAGCTAAGACCCTAAGCAATAGTGAAGAGGGGGCCTGAATTGGCCTTGCCCTGTACTCAGATGATGGCACCCTAATCATCATCACAGAACCTTCATCCAGTAACTGGTGGAAGCAGATGCAGAGATCCACAGCTAGGCACTGGGCCAAGCTCCCAGAGTTCAGTTGAAGAGAGAGGGAAGAGGGATTATATGAACAAAGGGGTCAAGACCATGATGGGGAACCCACAGAGACAGCTGACCTGAGCTAGTGGAAGCTGACTGACTCTGAACTGAGATCTAGGAAACCTACATGAGACCGAACTAGGCCCTCTGAATGTGGGTGACAGTTCTGTGGCTTGGGCGGTCTGTGGGGCCACTGGCAGTGGGACTAGGATTTTATCCCCAGTGCATGAACTGGCTTTTTGGAGCCCATTCCCTATGGAAAGATACCTTGATCAGCATAGATGTAGGGGGAGGGGCTTGGTCCTACCTCAACTTGATATGCCAGACTTTGTTGACTCCCTATGGGAGGCCTTACCCTTTCTGAGGAGTAAATGGGGAATTGGGTGTGTGTGTGGCGGGGGGAATGGGCGGAGGGCCGGGGGGGGGACCTGTGATTGATATATAAAATGAAAAAATATTTTTAAATAAATAAATAAATGAAAGAAAAAATACTCAGGTGTAAATAAAATAAGAATATAAAATAAATGAATAAAAATTCATGTGTGGCTGCTCACAGCCTTCGTCACCATGGAGAACATAGAAATGACTCCCATGCCCATCCAAAGATGACTAGATACACCTAGTTTTCGGTATGTAAGAAAGCAACTGTTGTTTATGTGATATGATGTAGATGAGCCTCCTAAGATATGGTAAGTTTAAAGAGCCAGGCTACAGGAGTGCATTTACATGAAATGTCCTTGAGAAGCAAACCCATAAGCAGAACAGATTGGTCCCCAGGGGCTTCGGTGGGGAGGGACAGGTGGATGTTAGAGACCAGCACCATTGTGAATGTGCTAACTGCTGCTTGTAAGACTGTGATGAGCTTTACCACAGCAAAGAAAAGGGAGGCCTTGGTAAAAATTCTTTTAACCCTGGTAAGGTACCGAAACACGGAATGTACTGCTTGACCCTTGTTTAAGGGCACTAAATACAGGCACAGAACCCTTCCCCTTATAAAACTGAAACTGTGCCCAGGAAACACCCACTCTCCGTTCCCACCAACCCCAGACGGTTTAGCTTCATGGGAGTGGAGTTTACAGATCAAAATTATGTGTGTCAGAATTTCCTCCCTTTAAAGACTTAAGTGGCATGCATTGTGTGGGGTGTGTGGGGAGTCCACACTTGGCTGATGGGTTCCTGGCTAATGGACCTCCCAGTTGCTTTCACTTTTTAGTCACTGTGAACGACGGGAGGCCTTGCAGTTGTCTGCTCTTCATCCTTGGGTCAGAGACACTCCTCCTCCTCATCTGACCTCGACGGTAGGCCTTTACCCCGGGATCTGTTCTTAGCATGGCAGCCAGCATTTTGTTCTGAGGGTCCTGTGTGCATCGCTCCCTCCTTCAAGCCCCTACCAGCTCCAATCACACTCTCAGGAAAACAAAAACAAAAACAAACAAACAAAAAGCCCAAGTTTTGACACCAGCCCAGGGACCAGGACCTGGGACTTGGCCCTGCCTGCCTCTTTCTCCTGTCTGTCTGGGATGGTCAGACTTGATATCTATCCCCCAGGTTCACAACAGCGGCAAGCCTTCAAACCTCCAAGTCCTGTTCTGTTTCGTAGGACTAAGCTTCCCCCATACCATACAGTCACCCCTCAGGAGGTATCCTCAGAGAGGTCTCCCCAAGTTGTTCCATTTGCAATACAACGTGCCCAAGAGGCAGCGACAGGCACACGCCTCCCATCCCTCCAGCGTTGCCTTCTGCTTGGCAGTCACGCCTGCAGTAGGAGCTCCTGGGCTTGCATTAAGTGGATGCTCCTGGAGAACCGGGCTTTCTTTCCCTGCTGGGTTCTCTGCAGTTTTCCTGCACCCGACCTAGTCCAGAATCCCCAGCAGTGCTCAGTGAGCACTCGGTGAGCACATGCATGGAACCGTCTGGAGAGCGCTCACCTTTCAGAGAAGAGCAGGCATTTCTGGGCGTGCAGCCTCCCTTTGACATGCAGCTCCCAGTCCTAGATGAGAAGACCAGAGAGGCAGGGGTGGGAGTGGGGGCAGAGGATAAGGATCGTTACTACCAGCCAGGCAGGGAGCTCTGGGTACCCAGAGGCTGGACCAAAGACACCTCATCTCCCTTTCTATCCTCCGCCTCCCACCCCAGTTGCTGCTATACAACTCTCAGTCTCTTTAGTCAACCCTCATCTGCATTCCCTATATCCATCTGGGATGACTACGCAGACTTGAAGTCAGATTCCCTTGTCTCCTCTCCGTAGACTCCTGACCTCCACAGAGAAACGCCATCCACTTCTCTCTGGTCTACGGTATAGTAAGACCAAGACCTCCAGCACCTGCTAGGGTCACTGCCATCACTGTGTCCACACTGGAGATGGGGAAGTGCGTCTCCCTCAAGTCCCAGAGACGTATCTGGGTGACATGACACCCTGCGCTATGATTCCCACTAAGGAGGAACTGTATTACGCTCTGGGACAGGCTGGTGTGACACTGACTCAGGCAGGCCACAGCCATAATGAAATCCCTACTCTGTCACTCTCCAGTCTGGGTCCCATCATCTATGTCTGGGCCTAAAATGTCTGATCTGTGGAAAGAGTATAATGATAGCATCTACCTTCTCGGGGCATGGAGGCCCGTGCTTATAACCCCAGCCTTCAGGAAGGCCAAGGCTAGCCTCAGCTATAGAATGGGCATGGAGGCCCGTGCTTATAACCCCAGCCTTCAGGAAGGCCGAGGCTAG